CCCCAAAACCCCAAAACCCCAAAACCCCAGGTAACTCAACATTAACTGAGATAATAATATTTATTAGATAAAATGTATTCCAGAAGAGGCCTTGCCTTAAAGAAGAGCAAACAGAAGGTATGCAAGATTTATTGCCCCATGTAAATATTTGTAAAGAATTTAAAATATATAAGAAAAGTTCCTGTCAACATTTTCGATATAAATTAATACTCTTAAACAGAATAAAGAAATATTTGATTACACAAAGCTCAAGATGAGTAAGACTATCACGCAGAAGGAAGTAATTAGTAAGCCTGCTACTTGATTATTTTAGATGGAGAGGTTCAAACAACACAGTACCTCAAGACTGATCTTCTTGGGAAAGGAGGTTTTGCAAAGTGCTACAAAATGGAGAACTTAAGCACTAAGAAGGTAATTACTCCAACCCGCTAAATTATAACGTTAGAATTTATGTACTAAAACAAATGGATTTCTTCCAAAATAAACATAGAGGATTGTTCTCTGTCTTATTCCCAATACTCATGATTTTCTGATATATTTATAGGTATATGCCGCAAAAACAGTTGTTAAGGTAAATTTCATGGCAATGTCTGTGTAGAAAACTCTGTTAGAGGGTGATAAATAAGGAAAAATTGGATAGAGAGATCAGCATCCACTCCTCTCTTTCACACCCAAACATTGTCGATTTTTATTACAATTTTGAAGATAAGGAAAATATCTACATTATGTTGGATTTGTGCAGCAACAAGAGTCTTTTTGAACTTCTGAGAAGAAGAGGCAGGCTTAGCGAAATGGAAGTCAGGTAAAGCTGCCAAAAATAATCATTTAGATGATACACTGCCCAAATAGTGCAAGCTCTTATATATCTGAAGCAATCAAAGGTCCTCCATCGTGACCTTAAGTTAGCCAATTTGTTTCTTGACGAAAAAATGCAGATAAAACTTGGTGATTTTGGACTAGCTACCAGAATCTGTTCTCCAAAGGATAGAAGAAGAACTATTTGAGGTACTCCAAATTATATTGGTAAGTTTTGTTTAATGATTCTGTAGCTCCGGAGATAATGGACCCTAAGATAGGCCATTCGTATTCAGCAGATCTTTGGGCATTAGGAGTTGTAATGTTTACTCTCTTGACAGGCCGACCTCCCTTCCAAGCATCCACTTTAGACGCTACTTACTCTAAAATCAAAAGGTAATATTCCCTCTCTAAACTCTAGACTTGATTATCGGTTTCCAACAATGTGAAACCACTCTAAAGAATGAAAAGATTTAATTTCAAAAATATTTTCAAAGGAGTCTAATAGGATCCAGCTCGAAGATATCATGGATCATGATTTCTTCAACAAGAAATATCCTGATTTGATGCCAAATTCAACATTGCTATGTCCTCCATCTATAAGCTATACAGAAAGGCTGGAGAAAGATAAAATATTCAAAACCAGAGCTGAATCTTTGCCTAAAAATATCTATCATTCGCACTTACTAGCCTACACTGCAAGACCTGAGCAGAAGAGTAGTGAGTTCAAGGAGAAGAAAGATGTTGGAAGTAGCTTCTGCAATAATATGCAGATGCTGAAGTTCAACAATATTCAGGCCAAGAAGAATTCTATTGCTCCATCAGCTCTCATCAAGGTAGAGAAAAAGCCCACTAAGGATTCCCCCAACAAGAGGTTGGTCAAAGGCAACTTTGAAAAACTGCGTAAAAGGAATATTAAGAATGTTGAGAAGAAAATTGCCTTTCAGAACGAAATATTCTCTGCAAAGCCAAGCATTTCTTCAGTAAAGAAGTTATCGGTAATACTCTCAGATTATGCTTAGATTGCGACTCTGATAAAGACTGTAACTCCTAGTACATCTGCTTGTTCCAATGCCAAGAACAATGGTACTATTGTTAACAAGAAGCAGAAGGGAGGCAAACAAAAGAAAATGTTTCAGTTAAAATCTAAGAATTTTATGAGTGAAACAGAGAGACTCTCTGTCCGTTCAAATAAAAACAGAGAAATGCTTCTTCAAAGCTCCAAGAAAGCTAAGGAGAGTAAGTCATAGTGCTAACACAAATAGAGATTGTATTCAAACTAGAGACTGGAGATATAGGATTTCTACTTCCTGGAGCAAGCCAATTTATCATATCCAAGGACCTATTCCAGATATATGTTAAGCCGAGTCTTCAGAATGAAGATAAAACAGAAGAGCCTGGAAAGTTATATGACATTAATAATCTTCCTGAGGATATAAATAGTATTCCAGGTGTTGAGAAGTTGATATTCAACTTAATTTCAATCGTCAATGCAGAGAATACACCAGCTACAGATAAGAAACCTGGTCAAATTGAGGAACATTTCCTAGAAAATGCAGCTAAAGTCCGACTAAACACTATCAAGAATAGTAAATCCATGAATTCAACAATATAGAGCTTGATAAGTCATGTAGCACCCAAGTTTGAAGAAAAACCCCTGATATATGAATCAAGCCGTTAACTTCATACTTCTCAGAAAACAGCCTCGCTAGCTCTTTGAAGAAGCAGAATGCCATGAATGTCCTGGTTTATGACCAAAAGGAACAGAAGAAGGTGAAATATATTGTGAAGATATTTAAATCTCAAAAATGTTACTGCAGAGCTTGTAATCGTACTACAAGAAAAGTTAAAAGGCCTTCAAATTATGAAGATTCTAAGAATTCTGTGATTGAAAAGGAGTTCTTTAAGAAGAAACCAAAGAGAAAATGAATCAATAAGGATCATAGCTCCTACTCGATTCTCTCAAGAAAAGAGTTTATAAATGACACTAAGAGTGACAAGACAAAGACTCTTAGCGCCCATGTTCCAAAGATTTATAGTAGGAAGCAGAGCAAGAGATTGATCATCGACAACCAGCTGTGAGAATGATAGGCTAATCATATAGATCAATTTTGTCTCTTTCAAAGCTGACCAGCCCTGATAAGACCTCAAGAGAAAAATTCACCATGATCAATGCATTTGAGTATAACACAAAATCCAAGAAGACGAAGTAATTTCTAGGTTTTATTCCTCTATAGAATGATTACTCATGCAAGTTCTGAATCCAAGATGATGCAATTCAAAAGAACTAAAGAGTACATAATCCTCTGTTATTATATAGCATAAGAAACTGTTTAAGCAGTATCCAGAAGAAGCCAGCGAAAGATATGGGAGGCACCACTTTTGACTGCCGGAAATCCCTTGTCATAGATATATAAACTCTTGAAGAAAATGCTGTATTTCAACTGAAGATTGTGCTACTGGGGTTTTGGGGTTTTGGGGTTTTGGGG